ACAGAAGATATGCGATTCTTACTAGAGCCACTACATGTGAAGGAAGTGAGGAAGAATGATCAAGGCAAAAGGGAGATTCTCATCGAGTGGAAGGACTTACCGACACATGAGGCTACTTGGGAGATATACGAAGCCCTGCAGGAGCAGTTTCCAGACTTCAACCTTGAGGACAAGGTTGATCTTCTAGAGGGCGGTATTGTTGGGCCGGGATTACCGACCCCGCCTGGACCCGCGCTGGTCTACAGGCGGAGAAATGGGGGGGGCGGGCTTCAGCCGAACCAAGGAGGGACCCCCACTTAAGTGGGGGTATTTTGGGGAGGGGAGGGGATTTTTGAATGAGTATGAAGGGAGCCTTTAGGGTTTAGTTTTGAGTATTATGAAAAGTGTATTCTCTCTCTTATTTTCTCCTTAGCCTCCTTCTTGCTCTTTTCTAGGGTTTTTCTTGTGGGAGATCTTGTCCTTCTCGAAGTGGACAAACTTATCTTGTTTTCTCTTGGTTTTCTTATGCAAAGGTTTTAACTTCTCATCTCAACCCTCTTGTGATTGTTCTTCTTTGATTTTGGTGGAGAAATTCCTCTTTTTGGGGGAAAACTAGGGCAAAACCGAAATTGTCTAAACCTAAGGCGTATCAAATTCCTACTGAAGGATTTTTTGAATCCATCAACTAGTTGCGGGTGGACAATGGATTAGTGGGGATATAAAGAAACATAATTCAATCAAAACAGACATTTCATAGTTGTCGAGGTAGAACAACACGTACAGCCTACAGTCTACTCAATAGAACATACTTATAATGCTTCACAGTTGACATTATAACTGGCAAAAAGCAAAGCATCACAACTATGTATAATTATTATTTCAACTCTTGCTTGTAAAATGGTAAGATAGACCACTTAGATGTCAAAAAATCAAAAGCAGTTTAATCTTACATCTTAAAACAATAAGAAGACTCATAGATCAACCATCAACATTAGCAATGTTGCTTCCGTCAATGCACCTAGAATGAGGCTTCGTTTGGGATGGCTTTCTTGCTGCTTCTTGAAGCAGCTTTCTAGTACAAATATTTTAATTTTTATATCGAAAAACTATTTTAAAAAGCAGCAAAAAAGTCGTCCCAAATAAAACCTGAATGTATGTATTAAATTTACTGTAACATCAGTATAACCGTATGTCTTTGATGGGGACATCGGATAATCATGGAGAGTTTATCAGAGACGCGGCCGACGATCTACGGCCACGATCGAACCATAGCATCTAAGTAGTCCTGCATCAGTATAACCGTATGTCTTCTTGTATTTTTTTCCACTTCTTTTGTAGTTGTTTCTATAATCTAGCTTTTATTTTAATTAGAAGGGTTTGACTAACTTTCCATAGAAAAAAAAGAGTTGGAACAACTATTCAAAAAAGTAAATGATAGTGGAAGCTCACTGTTATGCTGTATAGCTTGTAAAGGACATCATTCATGCCGCCAGTTTCTTCATTAAGTGATAACCAATGCCTTTCTATTGTATACTTCTGTATAACATTTTTCACACGGTTCCCAAAGTATTCAGCCATCCAGATCACCATTTCCAATGCTTGAGAATTTCCACCAAATATGTACTGATCAACAAGGCCTGCCATGATCTGTTAAGCAATTTGATAAACATCCAGCCAACAGAATAAAAGTCATCATCAACAAGGCGTGAAAAATGTCAAAAAAGGTTCATATGAACATACGGAAAAAACATGTAAAATAATTGTACAAGAACACAATTATCACAGGGAAGCCTACCTTGTGTATGGTGTAATATGGTGCCCATACACTTTTTATGGCTTCAAAGCGGTCAAAAAACTCGGTCGGAAATGCAGAAAGATAGCCTGTCCCAATTTTCTTTTGGCAAGCATAAAGTGCATTAACCACTGATGTCATTTTTTCTTGAAGAGTATCATTATGCGTGCTAGCCCACATTTGAGCAGTTGCACTCATATAATGACCTGAAAATATATATAAATATATCAGATATTCAAACCAAAATTGATATTGATAGATTAAGCAGACAGTCAACAATACAAGTGCTCGTAGCTTTTTCCCACCGTCAGACAAAAAACAAAAAGTGCATGCTTCATAGTCCACGATTTAGCTTAAATACCAGAGAGGGAAAGCCAAATAAGTGATGGTGGAGATGTTTAATGATAAAAAAAATTTGCAAGGATAAAAACAGAACTATATAAAAGCAGGGAACGGGATGTTTCAAACGAGCTGACATATTATATGTAGAATAGCACTGAACAACTCTTAAGGAAAGAACAGATAGCACAGTAATCGACAATGACAATGGCAATGCATAAACCCTTGGCCCAAATGCTACAAAATTCAAATATAGTACTTCCATTAGTGAGTGAGAATTTCAAAGGAAACAAAGATCCACTGATACGTTTTAGAAGTAAAAACAATAAGGTAGCAAGTAGAAAACTGTAGGAATTTGAAGATAGGGGCTGATTTTGATTAATACTTCAATAATAATAAAAAGATACAATTGATCTATAATTCGAGAGGTAGATCAACTCTCCCACAAATCCTATACACTGCTACGAAACTCACCATGAGAAAAGCTACAATAAAAACAAATTGCCTAATGAAAAAAAAAACATAATTATCCTTAAATAAATCATCATATTTTCCTCTCAAATCTGAATTCAAATCAATCCTTTTTCTTTAAATAAATAATTCCTAATTCCCTCACAAATTTAAATTCAAATCAACCATCTTTTCGTAAATAAACATTTCCTAATTCCCTCAACAATCTAAATTCAAATCGATCTCCTTTCCCTGAATAATTTCCTCCTAAATTTAATTAAAAATTTCATAAATAACTCTGCCTTGATTTCTCCTCTTTATATAGTAAATATTAACTCCCCTGAGCCCCATAAGGTGGGCCCCTTGACATATCAGCCACACAAGCTCATCAATCACTTAAACATAAATAGATACTTTATGGATGGTATTCTAATGAGCGTTCTTTCAATATTTACAAATAAATTTGCAGATGCGTGAAATGTCTCCATAATATTGTCAATGAACTCTCCATGACCCTGGCAGTCTAGTTTCGTGCAAATGTTAGCAGACCATCTGGTTATCCATGCCGAGCTAGATAAGATACAGATAAAAAATACAAAACCAATTAATTTATTTGTTTTTAAATGAAGGACTTTAAGGAAAGCATACTATATAAATATAGGAAACAAATAGTTGTATCAAATTTTATCAAGTAAAGAAGAAAACTGTTATGGGGAAAAAGTACTAACCAACGAAGTGCCCTCTAAGTTCAACATCAGGTGCTTCCCAGCCTCCATATGGTGTACCAGGAGTTTCCAGGCCAGCTTGCTTTCTAAAGCTCCAAACCAAACTATCCAAATCCAATAGTAGTAAATACTCCATATTAGTTTGCTGAGCTTGCCCATGCACAGAATCAGGATCCAAACGAACATCATGAAGCGAAACTTCCTTAAGGAAATCCCCTCCCTGCTGCTGTTTACTAATTCCATCTGAACTCATACTTTGATACAGTATCTTCCAATCAAAACTCTCAACCATAGACTCCCTTTCAAGAAGTTTACGAGGAAGCAAGTCCATATATGTCGACTTATCAATAATAGATGACTGATAATGAGAAAGTAACTCTCCTTCCCAGCTATCCTTCCTTAATTGAGAACGAATAGTGTGAGAAGAAGTCTGAGTAGGAATATTTGTGCATTCCTTTCCACAGACATAGCTGAAGTGTGCCAACGCCAGTAAGAAAAACAAACAAACAATCACTCCAGGTTCCATCTACGTCAATTACAATCAAACCAAAGCTATAGTTTCCCAAACTCCTGACAATAGTATTATGCCAATCAAACCTCAGAGAGCTTCATTTATAAACCGAAGAAGAAAGACTCGAAGCTGCAAAAGCAAAGGAAGCATAAAAAACCAAATTCACGGCCTTTATCATGGAAAAAGTCAAGGAGCCCATCAAAGAGACCACTATAAAGGTGCAAACAACATAGAATCAGCCATAAACCAAACTCACACCAAAAGATCGAGCCTTTTGCCACGGTTCCTTGAAAACAGAACCCAAAAAGGGAAAAAAGTACTCCAAGTGGACTGCGAGGAATGCTCGTTGGCCCTTATGGGATGCATACAAGAAGAATTTTTATGTAAAGAAACTAATGAATTTATAGGATAGCATGGCATTAAGCCTCATTTTCTTCCCTTCTAAAATAAGCACCAAGCGTTGATTGCAAGGAAAGATACTACCCTATCGTAATCGGAATTCTCAGAAAGCAAAGTAACTCTCTATATTCAATAAGCAAGCTGGGATGGATATCAGACACCCTGACGTTCACTGCAAATCATGAAAATGAAAGAAAACTGATCCACAATCTGCTAATTAATCCCGTGAACCCCAAGTCATCGACGAACATATTGGGGGGAGTGAAAGATATGAGGTAGACGCATGGAACCGATAACTAAAGACAAATCGGCGGTATCACGCGATCTTACAACGCTCAGGTTCAGATGTCCAGTCCCACTTTCCCTGACCTGTGAAACTCTAGGGTTAAGTTTTATCGTCATCTCCCCATTGATCCACAACGGCAAGCCACCCATTCCCAGTGACTGGTAATGGTGAAAGAGATAGGAACGGGAGAATTTGTTTATTTATTTATTTTTTATTTTTATTTTTATTTTTAAAGGAATCTACGTGAATACCATTAAATTATCATGCATTAACATTTTTATTTTTATTTATATCATATATATATATATATATATATATATATATATATATATATAAGTAGTATATAGAAAAATCTAGGAAAAAATATATTATATGTATAAATATATAAAAAATTTATGATTCTTATATAAAACTCTTTATTTATTATTTTTTCATAATGACTTGCATTTTTAGGTGTAACTATAAAATCGGTCTCATTTATTTGATCATTAAATTTAATACTTTAAATTAGTTTAAACAAATTAGTTTAAACAAATTATATATTAAAATATAGAGATTTATATGCATATTATTAAATTTTTAAAAACTTATGTATCTAATATCTAAATCTTTATATTTATTTCTATAATAGAATTGTCTCTAAATAAAATAAAAGATATTACTAATACTATGTTATTTAAATAAAATACTTTTTTCATGTAAATATTTTGATTACATTTAGACAATAGAATGTTATAAATATAAATATAAAATTTTAAATGTTAAATAAGCAACTAAATAAGAATTTTGCATTTTGTATGTAAGCCCCTCATTAAAATAGTATCATACATTAAACTATTATTAAACCAACTTATACTAAATATGCCAAAAAATTTCATGTTGTAAATGGAGTATTGTTAAATGGTTAAATGAAGTAAAGATATTAAGGTTATATATAAATAATATAATTTAATTATTGTGTGCTAACTCCATGATCTATATTGGAAGAATTATATATGTCTTCATTTTAATCATTTAACTAGAGATTATCAATAAAAATTGAAAATAAACATGATTGCATTTTTATCTTGTTCGGAGCCTCATATCATAGGATATTTACATTTTTTTCTGAAAATATATAAAATCACGTAGTGAGCATATAACCCAGCAAGTAGCTAAAATCTCACAACTGAAATCAATGCAAAATAAAAGAAAAAAA